TCAAGCTCAACACAGGATAATGAAGATAATACACAAGATTTTTCCAGAGATTGCTCAAGCCTTTATGGATGATCTTGAAGTAAAAGAATCACATGTCAAAAATGAAACTGAAGTCCTTCTAGAAATAAGAAGATTTGTTTATGACTATCTGCAGAACCTGGACTATATTCTATAGCTTGTCAAAATCTCTGAAGCCAGGATCTTCAGCACCAAATCTCAATTCTGCATGTCTGGAGTCAATGTTGTTGGATGGGTCTGCAACTATGACAGACAACAACCTGAGGAAGCCAAGATAGCTAAAATTGCAAATTGGCCTACTTCTACAAGTATTACAGAATTACAAGGATTTCTAGAGCTAGCTGGATATTTTCAAATACTTATAAAGCATTATAATTGGATAGCTGAACCTTTACATTATCTGCTTTGACAAAATGTTATATGGACATGAACTGAAGAGCAAAATAATATCTTTATGCTTTTGAAAGAAAAGTTATGTTCATTCCCTATCATTCTTCCAATCAATTACAAACAAGATCCTTTGCTTATCACTGTGGCTGTTGATGCCAGTGGATTAGAATAGGGAGGATGCATTATTCAGAAGCAATAAAAAGCTCAATATTCTGCATGATACAAATCTGAAGTATGGAATGATTCAGAGAAAACATATAATGCTGGCAAACAAGAATGCAGAGCTGTTTTGAAAGCCTTCAAGAAATTCCAACACCATATATATGGAGTGCTCTTTACTTTGGAAATTGATGCAAAAACTCTTGTCACCCAACTTAATAGAACTGCTACAGATGTTCTTGGAGCTTTGGTTACCAATTAAATAGCTTGGATACACCTCTTCAACTTTACTGTTAAACATGTTCCTGGGACAAAACACACACCTGCTGACACACTGTCTCATCAAGAGCTAGATATTGGGGAACAGGTTGAATCTGAAGAAGATGAAGATCTGTTTATCTTTATGAATTCTATAAGAGTTTTAGCTAGCTGAGCTCTCAATAGTGAAGATCTTAGGATACTAGACTTCACATATTCAGAAGAATCAGAGAAAATTGCACAATATCTAACCACTCTATCAAAACCATTGGGCATGGAAGAGAAAGAGTACACAAAATTCTGAAGAAAGATAATTAAATATGTGGTGGTGGCTGATCAACTATTTAGGTGAGCAGAATCTGGTGTACCTCTAAGACATGTTGTGGATAACAAAGATCAGCATGAACAAATTTTACACATGATATATAATAAATTTAGTTATAAAGAGTGAGAGAGAACATACTTTGCTCTATAAGCTTAATACTGGTGGTCAGAGATATATAAAGATGTGTCTGCTTATGTGAAGCACTGTTCTCAATGTCAACAAAGAGATTCATAAAGATTGAGTGAAGAGCTTCATCCTATCTGGGCCCCTATCTGTTGAGAGAAAGTTGAGATAAATATCAAGCACATGCCTTTCTGTTGAGGACAAAATTATTTGATTGTTGCCAGATGTGACTTTACTGAATAAGTGGAAGCTAGAGTCTTAAAAAAGACAACAGCTGAAGCTGTGACCAAATTTCTTTATGAGAATATCATCTGTTGATGGGGCCTGCCTGCCAAATTTGTTATGGATGGAGAACCAGAAAATAAGAATGTTGTGAAGACCTTACTGAAGAAATTCAACATTAAATGTATTGTTATTTTGCTCTATAACTCTCCTGCAAATGGTATGGTAGAAGTTGGCCATAAGCCTTTGGCTGATGGACTAGCTAAAGCTACTAATAGTACTGGAAGAGATTGAATTAAATATCTTCCTGCAATTCTGATAGCAGATTGAATGATGACTAAAGCTAGTACTGGTGTTTCCTCTTATAAATTACTAATGGGCCAGAAGACAGTTCTTCTGATTAAACTTGAGATTTCTACTTGACAAAGGATTCTCTGGCAAAAGATTTGAACAACTGAAGATCTGCTTCTGATGCAAGCACAGCAAATCAAAAGACAAGATAAGAATGTTCTGGAAGCAGCTCATCATCAGCTCTGAATGTGTGCTAGAAATAAGAAATACTTTGAAGATACCCATAATATTCAGATCAACTCTCTTCTACCTGGAAACCTTGTCTTGCTTGACAATACCAAAGAAGAACAGAATATATCTAGAAATAACACCCTGCACTTTTGATGGCTAGAACTCTATAGGGTTAAGTCCACCAATTAAGAACTAGGTGCCTATCATCTTGAAGAGTTAGATAGCACTGAACTCAAAGAATCTATTGCAGGAAACAGATTAAAGAAGTATTTTATGAAACCTGGAATAAAGCCATTCAATAATAGCTCAGCAGATTCTAATGTAGAGATGGAGAACATCTCTCAAAGATATGCTACCAGAAGTTAACCTAACATTCTCTCTAGCAGTTCCTCAGATATTAGCTTTTTGAATCAGAGTGAAAATGAAAATGATCAAGAAGAAATAAAGCAAACACAATTTCCAAATGTTATACCAGATGACTGGAGCTTTACTGTTGTTATACCTCCACAAGATATTTAATTTGTTGTGTTTTGTTTGCAAAAGTGAAGTTTTTGCTTGCTCTTTCAGAAAGTTTCTCTTTCTTTATTATTTGCATAAGTCTTCACTTTTTCTGAATTTTTTGAAGATATTTAAAGGTCAATTTTTCTTTTCTGGAGCTTTTACTTTCTTTTACATTCAAGCTTGATTCTTTTTACAGATTCAACATTTCATTTGCAAATTTTTTGATTTCTGATATTCTTCAAAAATGGCTGGACAAAGCAACCTGCCTTCTTTAGCACCAGCAACTGAAAACCAAGGCCTGGTTGTTACCAGAGACAGTGGAGTCAACTTAAATGATCATTTCTTCAATAACCTAACAGCAGCTATAGAATACATTGATAATCAAGCTCTGCACCACCACTATGATCTGTGAGTCAAACTGATGAACATACTTATGCAAGTGACTGATGTGATCACTGACTTAGTGGCCCATTTCTATTAATATGTTAATTCAGAGCTTGGCAACATGTTACACACACTAATTTTGAAGCCAATTTCCATGATGCTTGAAAGATTACCCTGGATGTTGAACAACATTGCATTGATATGCAAAAGATCAAGAATAGGCTTGTTGCTACATGGGAGATAGACAGAATTAATGCTATATAATCAAAAGTAAAAAGTCTGTGGACTGCACAAAAGCTTCACCATACTCTAAATATCTACAAGAATTGGGATAAGTTTGCTAACAATATTAACAGCACAGTGCTCTGAAGACTAGATGCTACAGGAGCTGGACATTGCTGGAGCTTAGCTATATTGTCAGGCAATTATACTACAGCTGACAAAGAAGTTGATTGTGCTTGTGAACTTTCTTCAAGAGATGCTCTACACTAACAAGAACTTACTATTAAAAACTATGGTCTTCTACAATTATTGACTTTTCCACAGTCATCTAGCTTCCAATGTTCAATTCAGAATATTGCTAGAAGCCCTTCTACTGCAAGCAGCCCCTGAGATCTACTAGAAGGACCAGAGTCACCAAGATTACCAAGAAATGTTCCAATGAGTGGAATGTTAATGCTGCATAGCTGCAATGTATCAGAAGCCTCTATACATAGTACAATGTTGATTAGATTGCATGGATTAGAAACTGGCCAATCACAGCCACCATTTGAATTCATCAGTGTACTGGCCAATCTATTCAGCTAATCAGAAGCTTCAAAGCACTACAGGAAGAGAATTACAATCATGTCAGCACATCAAACTCTCCAAGATCTAGATGACAAAGATAAGTCCATTATTTCTTCTGAAAGTGATGAGGAAATATCTCAATATGAACAAGAAGAATCTGTCATAGCAGTATACTCTGGTACTTGCTATTGCCATGGTTTCAAACAGCAGCTTCTCCAAAAGATAAAGAGTACTAAAACATATTTAGAATTGGAGCTTATTTGCATTCTGGAGCAATTAGAAAAGGCCTTTAGCAATAAGAAAGCTGATATCTACCTATACTATAACCATGCAAAACTAATGGCTTCAAAACTTGGTTTGCAGACTTGCACACTTAATAGAAAGAAGCTTCTCAATCATTTGACTTACATTTATAGAAATTGTTGCAACATTGGCTCAGTCAAGACCAATGACAGCATCTATCTCTAGTTCTGTTTGGCAAATAGACCAGCTAGAGCTGAAGATGCTTTAGGCATTTACAAATTCAAATATCAGCTAATTATTTCTCTGGTCACAAAGATGAAGACATTCAACTTCAACCATTATGCATGAATAACTGGTGTAAACAGGTTCACCAACAAATGATCTTCAGAAAAAATAGGAAACAACTGGATCTGTTGTCATTCTCCAGCTAATATGCTCATGGAATGATAAGTTACAAGATGCCACCACTACAGTACTCACCCAGGTCAACAGTGAATATAACATGTACTACCATCATCAGTGAATGATAGGAGGTTGCAACAATTACAGATAGTTGAGAACAATGTATTACAGTATTAGTCAACAACTTATGCATCAGAACCCTGCATACTATCTATAGTATGTACTGACAAGATCTAACCACACTTGGAAATTGATCTTCTATTCATACTACACCAAGTATGCTAAGCCAGGGGATAAAACTGGGTTTTGCCATATTAATGTCAATGTTCCAGATGCTATTACTACTGAAAGGAGCATTAACATGATACAAGAATTCTTGATCTTAACTGCAGAAGAGCCCAGCAACTGTACAGAAATCTTGCCAGAAATGCATAATCATCTAGAGAATTAGTGGGAACTAGTTAAAGAACAAGGCTTATCCACTCATGGCTATATTCACCGCATTAAAGATACAATATATACCAAGAACAGCAAAAGAAAATTTAGTATTAGATGAACTAATATCATTTGCAAACCTGGCAATGTCCAAATTACAAGCTCTCTGCTACTCCATGGAGCCCATGGTTCATGCAAAAAGGTCTGACACACTATACTACTCTGGTATATGGCAATTCAAGAGAACCATGAACATCAAGAAGTCAATAAAGCTGGTACATGGTTCCAGCTCTCCACTGCATATAGAGATCTAGTTCCAGAGTCTTCATCTCCATCTGGCCATTCAAATTATTACACATTGGTTCCATATCAATTCCCTATCACTATTCAATTACAAGGCTTAGAAGCTATATCAGATGCTCTGGTAGAACAAATTAGATGGGACAACCCTATGGTAATTGAGGAACTCAATATTCTCTTTGGCCTTGATGACAAAAAGACTCAAGACTTCATTAATAACTGGTGCCTAAAGGCCACACAAATTACTTTGGATTCCATTGTCAAGACTTACCAAATTGAAAAGAAAGCTTTTGATAATAAATCCTATTGGCATTATGTGCACAACAACATTAACCCAGCATCAGTTTGGCCTTCTTCTCCTCCTGAGAACTTGGTGGAAGAAGAGAATCATAATAATCACTATTAGAAATTGCTGCTATCACTCTTCTTATTTTTATTTCCTATGTTTTTCCTTACCAGACTGCTCATTACTATTTATTATTCTCTTATTTTACTAAATTGGTTTTATTTTATTTTATATGTTGCTTGTTATCAGGGAACACCAACATTAAAGGCCAGAAGAAAATGTAGTGGGGATTCTGGTATCTCATTAGAACAAAGGTTGTTCCAGTCTGAGGCACAAACCACCCCAAGCTACTATTCTTGAGCTATATAAACCATCTGTAGTCTCTGCTTCTTGCTTATTATCTTCACACACCATTGCTTCTTTCTACACACTCATTCCTTATTACCAGTTCAGTTATTAGTTAGAGAATATGAAGATTTCTTGTTCATGAAACATGCTACTTTTTCTTATTAGAGCTGCCTGTATTAGTACAGGGCTCTTTAGTACCATTACTTCTTATGAGCTTAGGCATCTGTTAGGACATACCTATCTCTACACTTACTACTTGACCATACCCTTACTATGTTGTGATTTTTCACCTTTCTTGTGCTCTCACCATATCAACCAACTTGCCTACCTTGATGAGGCATCACATTGTACTCCACTTCAGTATTTAGCAAGCTTTGCAAACAACTGGTATTCTCTTAGACACTTCATAACTAATCTAATGTGCTTCTCATGCTCCTTCTCTGAGACTGAGAAGATAAGAATATTGTCTAGGTAAACTACACAGCATATGTCAACCAGGCCTGCCAGCACTCTATTGATATAGAACTGGAAGATTACTGGTGTGTTTAACAATCTGAAAGACATGACAAGATACTCAAAACTTCTAAACTTTGTATGAAATGTGGTCTTCCATTTGTCTCCTTTTTTAATCTTAATCTGGTGGTAGATATCATGTAGGTCTATCTTGGAAAAGTAGTGTGCTCTCACCAACCAGCTTAATATCTTGTCTATCAACAGCAAGAGGTAACAGTCCTTCACTGTAATTACATTAAGATCATGATAATTAATACAGAGCCTGAGTTCTCCATCAGTCTTGAGTGCAAACAATACTGGAGTCTCTGCTGGACTTTATAATAGATGTATTCAACTCTTGCATAACTTGTTCTTGATGTACTCTTGTAGAATCTCTGTCAGCTTGAGTGATAGTTTATAGATTGGTATGTATAGGGGCTTGCAGCTGTCTTTAAGAATAATCAGATAACTGATCTTTATTAATTTCAGCAACTCTGCTGCTTTATCTTCTGAGAAAACATCTTTATAATCTCTCAATCACTCAGGCACTTCTGTCAGAACTTAGTTGTTATCTGACACAAAAATAGTATAAGAGAGTTTGTTCTTGATGTATACTACTTGAAGAAATCTATCTGCATTCAAAAGTTTCATTATTTTCACTAAGAATTAATAACACCACATCTTGTTCTTCCAGTCTATATCTGGGTTGAAATCTTCTAATCATAGCATGTCTAGAACTATATTCATGTCAACCATGTTGATCACTGTGAATGTATGTCTTACTACTTTTATGATCTCTATAAAGTCTGTTATAGTAAGTTAGGCCTTGTAGATGTTATATCAATCAGCCTCAGCTCTGTTCAATATCTTAATGACTCTCATAGGTGTCTCTGGTTGATCTCAGTCTAATTAGAATGCCAGTTTGTAGAAGATACTGTCCACTGTGGTGCCTGAGTCCAAAAGTACAGCTTGCTCTATAAGATTATCTGATGGTGTAGTTAGTGTGGTCAACAGACACATACTGCACCTGCTTGCCTTTTTTATTGAGTTAATATTCTATCTTTCTAATGTTTGACCTGGGTCTTGCATGGGCTTTGCAGCCCTGGCCTTCATTTGGTTCTTGTTCTTTTTGTCTGTCCACTGGAACTTGTTAGAGCTGTTTGTACAGAACTTTGCCCTATAGCCTGATTAATCATATCTTAAACAGAGCTTTTTATTTCTTTGTTGTTTATGTTTCTCTTTCAATATTTTTGAAAGTGGTTTTACTGATATTTTGTTTGTGGATAATCTTCTTCATTGTCTTGTTGAAATGTATCTTTCTCTTGAGAGATTAAGATTTTCTGTTTCTTCTTATTTTGGTTCTTGTTCTACTGACTTTGCTTCTTCTTTTCTAGAATGAACTCAATAAGTATTGCTTGTTCTTGTAATTCCATAATTATTTTTGGTTGGTGTTGCAGTTTATTCAGTTCAGTCTGGATAATTGATCTGAGCTTTATCTGTAGAAAGAGTATGTAAAAGAATTCATCTGATAGACTGTCCAGATCCTGTTCAAGTTTGGTAATGTATATAAAAAACAAGAGTATGAACTGGTTCTCTTGTTGGACAGTGTTATGATAATGCTGCATCATGTCTCAACTACAAGTTATCTCAGATTTAATGTTGTTCTTACACTACATCTTAAATTTGTTTCATGATGTGGGTAGTTATTCTTTCTCTATTTCCAATATCTGCCAATGTATCTGAAGTTTGTTATAAAAATAACTGGACACCTAATCAATTCTGACCACATCTGGTGTCTTTTGTAATGATTTTCTCAGATGAAACTGCTGTCTTATTAAAGCTAACCACAATTTACACTTGTTAAGTGATTTGCCATAATAATAAGATGCTTTTGAAAGCTTTACATCATCAAAATCATCTGACTCCTCTATTGATCTTGTGCATAAGAGGAACTCTAAAGAGAAATCATCATTTGCTATTCTCTGTTCATATTCTATCTGCTTCTGCAGTCTGTATATCTTATTTTGTTTACATATGTCTGCTAGATTCTTTTGCAGATGTGTCTTCTTTTTTTCAAAGATCTTCTCTCTTTAGATTTTGTTTAATATATTGAGAGGTATATCTCTATTGCCTGTATTATCTGCTGGTGTCTTACTGATGGTAACTCCACTGCTACCAGCATCTTTATTAATGTTCATCTTCTCCACATTGGTGTCTACCTCTGTTGGGTCTGCAACATGAGATTTTGTCATGGTTCATCTTGTGGATCTTGGTGACATTATATTAACTTAGGCAATTGTATGTTGGAGCATTCAGAATGTTAGAACAACTAGTTATAGATCATGTAGATTTTCCCAGAATTAGAGATATGAAAGAGCTAAGTAGATATGATGCCTGCAACTGATAGAAGGAAGTTGTGTGTAGAATATAGAGATTCTCTAACTAGAAGACTGAATGCTGGGGTTCTCATGATTCATGCAAATCATGTGATTCTTATACATTCAGAGTTGGGGTTATGTGAATACCCCTGAACATCTGATGTTGTTCAATGCTTGGTTGGTCTAGGTCTACATTTGTAACAATGCAATTTGATTTTCATCTTCAGAATCTGTTTCATGAGATCTCTTAGAAATAGTTTTGGTTGTTGAAAGATTCTGTTCAGCTCTCACTAGCTTTATTGATTTACCAGTATTTTGTGCTGAATAGTTATATTTTTTGAAGAAAACACACTCTGCACTTTTAGCCACATGATTTTCTGAGTAGTTAGCATATTTTAATGTACAGTGTATATATTTTCTTCCAGTAATTTAACAAATTAAGCATTCATGCATACTTGTTTGATGTTTTTGAGCACAGATACTACATCTAGCTTCTTTTTTACAGTTTGGTGCTGTATGACTATAGATTTAATAGTTAAAGTATTGTACAGTGCTTCTAAATCTCTCTGGCTGTTTATATTTACAAACTTTAAGAGTTTGTCCAGCAATTACAACTGTTTTCAGATTTTCAGCTATTGTGATATTTTCAACATAAAAGATAGCAGATGCATGTCTTTTCTGTATTCTATTTTCAGCAGAAGATAGCCAGATTAGAGTTCTTTTTAGAGAAATAAAATTAAAGATTTCTATTTTTTCTTTTAGAAGAGATAACCCATTCTCTATATTAAAAATTTCTGTAGAGATACCATGAACTACAAAACTCTCCAGTGCTTATTTTTGTGAATTTTCATACTTTCTATATCAAAATTCATTAGATCTGAAAAAATGGAAATCCAACTCTGCTTGTGTTTTTGAAGAAAATCAGCTGAAAAGTCTTCTGTTGTCATCCGAATTAGAGATTGATCTCTGAATAACTTAGTAATTGAAGAGATAACTGATTTTTCAGTAATCTTTGCTTCAGTAAAGCTGTCATTTATTCTATTTCCAAAGAAAAAAGCTTTTTTGCTGATTTTCTCAAGTGCTTGAATGTTTATCTTAAAAAATTAATCTCTTTTCTCTAGGCTGGTATTCGGGACCGGGACAGGATCCCATTTCCCATTGAACCTGGTCCTGGTCCTGAATTTAGAAACAGCCAGGATCCCAAATATGAAATCTTAGTTCCATGTTTTATTCTACTCAAGAGCTTGAGGTCCTGTTCCCATCCCTATTCCAGAAATTATTTCCTGGTCCCATCCTCAAATAGAAAATTATATCCCACATCCCATCCCAGCAGAGATGGTGGACTCCCATTTTCTATTCTGGCTGGGTCCATAGTGGGACTGGAATAGGACCAGAATTTCCAGTCTTATTGTATCAAATTCATAGATAAGAGTCAAACTGATCAAATTTTGTGTGGACCATTACCAAATTTTGTTACTTTTTTGATGAAGGCAGAACCCATAGAAAAATCAATTTGATTGTCAAAAAAAACAAAGTATTAAAACTAACTAATGGCTGAAGCCAGCAAACAAACAGAAACTGTCTAAATAGCAAATTAATTATTATTGTCATCATCTTCATCATCATTATTGTTCTCTTTTTCTCTCTTCTTCTTCTTCTTCCACTTCTTCTTCTTCTTCTTCTGCTCCTTCAGAACTGGCTTTGTGAACTGGACAGGGGCTCTAATACCTGCTATTTGACAGGTGGAGACCCTGACAGTGCTGGGGGAAGGCAGAGAGGCAGAGAAGCAGTGGTGGATGATGGTGGTGGTGGTGGAGCAGTGGCAGCAGTAGTTGGTGGGGAGGGGGCAGCATGCAGGTGGTGGGTGGTGGTGGCAGGAGCAGAATGATCAGGTGCATCAATCAGGCCAAAATAGTTTGACCTGATTTTGGCACTGATGCCAAGAACAAGCTTCATATTATTAGTGTTGACTGTAATGTGCTTATAGTGTGCCATTGTCATAACAGAGCCTATATTACTCAGTATAATTGTTGGTGCTATTGCTAAGAATGACTTATACTTAAATAAAGTGTATAAGATTGCTTCAGCTGTCTTCTGAAGTAACTCAATAGCAGTATGTTGCTAGTGATATTCATGTTCTTGATGACAGAACAAAGTAATTTCCCAAACCAATTGCTGAAATGGGGTTATCAGTAAGATTAGCTTGGTAGAGCTCTGGAAGTAGTGGATTTCCTTAATGGCACCTATTTTCACTAATTAGCATCAAGACTGTTACTAAAAATTGTTACTTTTTGATATATGAGTGCCAGCTTTCCAATTTTGAATAGAGGAGTGGGGGTGGGGATTCTCCTAGTTAAAGTCGGCCAGGTCAACATCTTTATTAGCTTTATGTCAATTGCCCTTCTTCAAGGCCCATTCTTTTAATATGGTCTTGTGCTGCTTCTCTCCAGCTGTGCAAAATGAATATGCATGGGGAAAACTAACATCTTATCAGTAAATAATATGCACCAGAGCAGTATTCTGCAAGCACTCATCTCTTAATATAACCCATTTTGTTGCAGTATATGTTTGTTGTATGTGTGGATGTTGAAGTGCAGTAAATAAAAAGGTGGTGGGGGGGGGGGGGGGAGAGGGGGGAAGAGAAGAGAAGGAAATCATCAACATTAGCCCTGAAGAGAAAGAAGAAGAAGAGAAAGAAAAAGAGAAGAAAAGAGAGACTAATCTGATGTTATTATTCTGTAGTCAGCATAGCAACAATATGTTGATCTTGCCTATAGCAACATGCCTGTAGAATGTAAATAATGTGTATAGTAACCATTCTACAGTACTTGGTCAATACACTCTATAATTTCATTATCCTGTAGCCAGCATAGCAACAATATGTTGAGCTTGCCTATAGTAATATGTCTGTAGAATGTAAACAATGTGTATAGTAATCATTCTATACAAGTACTTGATTAATATACTTTATAATCTTATTATTCTGTAGCCAGCAATTCAACTCATTGTATATAATTGTGAAGATGAGGTCAAAACAATATTCAATAAGAGAGAAGATCTGTACAGCACAGAAGCACTGCCAGATCTTGAAAGATCATCAAAAAGATATATTCAAGACAGGAAAGGCAGATCACAAGACATGCCATAACATGCTGAAGAGAATTCAAGTAAAACATGAGTGGTATGCACTCTCAGTGGTTTGCATTGAATTATATTGACATTCATTGCAGGCAGAATAGCAGCAAGAAGAATCACAAGATAATTAAAGATAAAGTTATTGAAGAGTTAATGGCCAAGCAATTTGCCAAGAGTAAGTTAAAGAAGTACTATAAGCACCAGCTCATGGTCTCTCAGCAAAAGAAAAGGAAGAAGAAGAAGAAGTATTGCTGAGAAGAGGCCACAGAGATTAAGAATAAAGCTCAGCAGAAAAAGAAGGTAGAATTCAAAGATAATAAAATTTGGTAATGATCCTGACATATTTAGACCAAAACAAGCCAGGTGCAGCATTCTATTGCTGCATGTAGGGAGGCCTAATTCTGCCAAATGATAGCCAGGCTTAAGACTAAGTTCATGGCTCATGGTTATAATTATCTTGCTGTAGTTGGTGTGTTGAGAGAGGGGGTTAAGAAGAAGATAAGAAGATTCCTGAGCCAATTACAGAGTCTGAGTGAAGACAACAACAGCTCATCTGTCCCAGAGAAGATAGAGAAAGATGATTTTGAGATTGTGGTATTCTCTGATGAGAATGATGAGAAGAACAATAAGGCAGAGGATGATTAGATTATTGATATCTAGAGAAGGAAGTTAGGTTTTTAATTCTTTTTTCATATTAATTTGAGAATGGAGTGCTATTAAATTGGCAAAATGTTTTATTTTCCTGAAGAAGAATGTTCCATTTTGTAGAAGAAGAAGATTTTGTAGTGGATTGCTGTACTTACAAAGTAAAATAAGGCTAACTATCTAGAGATTGTTAAATTTTGTGTGGGCTCTGACCACATTTTGTTACTTTTTTGACTAAGGTAGAACTTAGAGAAAAATCAATTTGATTGTGAAAAAAAAAAAAAAAAAAAAAAAAAAAAAAGAAAAATCTAATGGCTGAAGCCAGCAAACAAGCAAAATCTACAGAAGTTTCTTCAGAATTAATTATAGTTCAACATAAAAAAAAACAATTTGTATTATGGAAGGAGCTGCATTATAAGTTGTTTGTTACTTGGTGGTTGACTACTGAAGCTGCTCAGTTGATTAATGATAAGAAGTATGGTAACCTCAACTGGAAGGCAAAGCAACACCATTCTGATTTTTGATCAAAATTTGATTAGGTGGCAGAGCATTCTAAGAGTACTTCAGAGATGATTTGCAAGCATTGCCAAATCTTTCTCAGTTATTCAAGCTTTTCTTAAAATAATACAAGTGGTCTGAAGAAGCATTTAATGAGCAAAGATTGTACAAAAACTGATAATGAACAGGGTAACATTCTGATTAACATGATGGTAGATCATGAATCCTAATTTCTCAAATGTAATGAATTTTAGTAATGGTTCTGGTGTCTTAGCAACAGTTTCTAAAGCATTCTCAAACAGATTCAGATCTGTCTGTTCCTGAATGTAATTAAGATAATTTTCTTCAGCAGCTTGTGCAAACATTAATATTCTTGAATCTCTTATTTTGTGCTATTGAGAATCCAGTATTCTGCACATTAATAACCATGCTCAACCCTGCAATAGCTTTATGGATACTCACACAAGAAATATTATATCAGATTATGAATGATATGTACAATCAGCTATTCTGAAATCTTCTCTTTAATCATGACTTAACAATCAAGGTATCTCTGGCAGTAAATAATTGGACAAGTCCCAATAATCTTGTCTTTATGGCAATTAATAATTATTACATTATAAAGAATTGGGAGTACTGTGAGCATTTACTGAATTTTGAAAGTTTAAAGAATGCTTATACTAGCAAGAATATGACAGAGATTCTTCAATAATTACTAACAGCATGAAGACTTAAGAGCAATCTTCTTGTAATTACAAGTAACAATGCATCAAACAATAGTACTATACAAGCACATCTTATATATCAGTTAAGGCCAGCATTGCAGCAGTTGAACAAGATAACTGATTGAAATACAGAGAGTAGAATAATACTCTGTCTTGCTTATGTGATTCAACTTGTGATTCAAGAGCTGATTTGCAATCTCAAGATTCAGCCAGATAATAATACTCTACCCACTATCTTTGATAAGAGCTTAATTACTGATAACCTAACATCAACAGACACATTTGCAAATACTCTTAGAAAGATAACAAAATTTGGTAACAGTCTTGATATACTTGAGTTGATTTACTAATCTTTGCTTGATAATAGATTTATCTTGTTGCTAATGCAATCAATGTCTCCCCCCAACTTGCTGCATGTTTCTGAGAATATCAACAAGAGAACCAGCACAAGATGATTTAAGATATTTGCACAAGATGAAATTCTATCTATAAGATGTGTATTTGTGTCTTGTTGCTTCAACAAGCTGTAAACTCATGAATTCAGAACTCATCATCAAAATACTAAAGACTTTACTTATTGGACCATGACTGAAAGCAGCTAGAGTATATGATTGAACTGTTGCAGTCATTCAGTTAATTTATCAAGATACTGTCCAAAACAACAGACCCAATAATTCATCTGGTATAGGTAATATACAATCATCTTTTCCAGTATTTAGAAAGAGAGGAGAACAAGATTCAACAGTTGATAACAAGAGAGAACATTCAAGAAGCTATTAAAGCTGTCAACTTGAAATTCCAGAAATACTATAGTAATACTAAGCATTCAAAGGGTGAGCTGCTAGCTGTAGCTGCTGCTCTCTATTCATTACACCACATAAGAGCATATGATTCAGAGAATTGGACCAGTGATGAGCATGAAACATACCAATAATATATTTTAAGGTTTTACAAAAAGCATTATGAGAAATATAAACAGTCAAGAGAAGTAATACTTGATGTGAATGATATATATTTGTTATAAGTATTATTCTGATTTCTTCTCTGCTAACTTCTCTAGAATGTTGAGCAAATGATTTTTGAGAGACCCCATTAAAGACAAGCAAATTTCCAAAATGAAATAGAGTAATATTTAAATGATGAGAATTTGACATCATCTTAAGCTCCAATTCTGGAACAGTAGAGAATACTAGAGCCTGATTTTCTAACTGTTGCTCAGATGGCAAGGGACATTCTGGCTATATCTTTAACAGAGATTGGAGTAGAACAGGTTTTCAATGTTGCTCAGAATACATATTATTATTGATGATTGTGGCTCTATACATCTACAATCAAGAAGATCATGCTGCTTAAACATGGAGATAAGGTGTATATGCTAGATAAAGCACTTATATCACATGAGAAGTTGGCTAAGAAAGTCATTTAAAACAATCAAGATGATCAAGATACTCCAGAGATTGTACAGAAAAAGATTACAAGCCTGCTAAATCCACTACTTAATCCAGATGAGGAACAGGAAATACATCAATATTATTAATAGATAGACTCAAGTAGCTAATAGCTTGCAATATAATCTAATTATATAAAGAGCATTACCAAATTTCAGTACTTTTCTGAAGTTGAATAAATTAATAAAATTATGTTAGAACCATTACCAAATTTTGTTACTTTTTGACAATATAAATGGGACTGGAGTTCCTGGTCTCATTCTACACTTTACTGATCCCATTCCATATACAATATTGAAATTCTGGTTCTATCTCATTTTGTCATGTCAGGTCCCAGGGCTGTCCTACTAGCTAGATTTTGATCCCAGTCCCAATCCCATCTCAATCCCAGTTCCCACAGAACTGTCCCAATATGCTGTTAAACAACCTGGTCCCATTCTATTAAGCTGAGCTTCAACCTGATTCTGTCCTTGGGACAGGAATTGGGACGGGAATCTGGGACTGGGACAGGAAATCCCGGAACCGGATACCACTCTACTTTTCTCTAAAGAGCTTTAACTTAGAAGACTGTTTCTTATCCTTTTTACTATTTACTTTAAAAGAAAAAGAAGATTTGATTGAAGATTTAGTATTTAATTCAGTTTTTAGAGCAGAAGAATATGATTTGAAAGTATTACTAGTAGATACTTTTTCTTGAAAGAAAATTTCTAAAGTATCATTTCTGTTACTCTTAGTAAATACTTTCTGATCTTCCAGCTGTGTAACTCTTTTCTTAAGATTTTGCAGATCAGAGTTCTCAAAAACAGTAGTACCTTCTTTTTCTTGAAAAGTAAAGATTTTTTAAATACTTAAAATACAAGTATTTAGTTCTTTTTGCACAAGAACATGATTCTTTTTCTGAGATTTTTTAGCAAGAAGATTGAGAATTGACTTTAAGTCTTGCTGTTCAGATTCAGAAGAAGAATCAGAAGTAAAAGACATTTTGACTATGTTTTAAGAAATATCTTCTTGAGAAAAAAAATAGAAGACAATCTTTTAAAAGAAAATCCTCTGAGGTTACTTTGTATTCCACTTGCTAGTTAACTCAAACTAGTTTAGTTGTTTTACTGAGAGCTGAAAATCTCAATATAGTAGGTTTTTCTTTAGCCAGAGCTACATCTATTAAATTCTGGACTAGTTTTTTAAGAGAATTAGCAAACTATATAGTTTTTTTTGAAGACTATGATCACAGGAACAACTTCTAGAGTAAAAACTATGGAAAAACTATTGAGAGGGTAGAGGGCAAGAGGGCAAGCTAGCAAATTCAAGAGATATAAGCAATTAGGTCTCAAAAATCAGTTAGAATAATACTAGCAAGTATATTTTTTGAAGAGAAATATCAAACTAGAGAGCTTTTTGCAGGAAAGCTTTCAGAAACCAGCTGAGAATATTCTCAGATTTAGTAGCAAAGACCCATATTCAAGATGCCAGAGCCAATACTATAAAAATAAAATATATTCTGAGCAGAAAAGTGAGAAAAGCACCTGGTTTTTTTATATGTAGCAGTACCAGAAATCTAGCATATCTTTTATTAGATGGAAAAGATAGCAAACCTGTCAGATCACTAGAAATCTAGCTTGATGTTTTTTTAAATGCAGAAAAATTAATAAAAACTGCTCTGATTTGCAAAGTAGTCTATATTATAGCTTGTTCCTAGTTCAAAAACTTAGTTATTATAAGTATTTAAAAAGCTATTTTTCACTAATTGATTCTGATTTTCCAGCTACCAAACAGTATAGAACATACTAGAATTTAGTAGAGGTTACTCAGAATTTGCAGGGATCAATTTGGCTCAGCTATACCAAGGGTATCAAGTTGATAGAGCTGATTTAGTGCTGGCACAAAGCCTGGGGAGCAAAGATCAGATGAGAAGAGGTAGAGAGATAAGATAAGAGTAGATAAGATAAGAACTCTAGCTTACTTGACACACCTCAACAAAAATGTGAGTAAGCAGGAGCCTTGGCAAGGAAAATCAAAATAAAAGAGTGTCTGAGAAGAGATTTTTCAGATAGAAATAATGTAATAACACAACAACTAATAAAGATATAATAAAGAAAATTTGACAGTTTGCATAAAAAGTGCTATTGAGGTTATATCTTAAATTTCAGATGAAAAAACTATGTGGTTGTTGAGTAATAGTGTGGGAAGTGTTCCTGACAGGTGTGAAGCTGGCACCATTTATTTCCACTTATATCTCAACAAATCACCAGGCAAATCCCCTGAAAATTGGAGAAATTCTTAGATAGAGAAAAGGCTTTCCAATGAATATAGTTTTGTCCAATTTGAACAAAAATTGACTAAGTTGTGAAAAGAGCATCCTGTCTCTATAAAGTCTGTTATAGCAAGTTGAGTCTTGTAGATACTATACCAATCAGTTTCAACTCTGTTTAATATCTCAATAACTTCTGTAGATGTCTCTGATTGATTCTAGTTTACTTAAAACACCAGTTTGTAGAAAATACTGTTCACTATAGTATTTCAGTTCAATAGTGCAGCTTGCTCTGTAAAACTATCTGACAATATAATTAGTATAGCTGACAGATACATACTGCATCTGCTTGTCTTTTTTATTAAGTTACCACCTTGTCTTTTTAATGTTTCATCTGGGTCTTGCATGAGCTTTATGACTCTAGTCTTCACCCAGTTCTTATTCTTTTTATTTGTCTGCTGGAACTTGTTGGAGCTATTTATACAGAACTTTGCTCTATAATCTAGTTAGCTATATCTCAGACAGAGCTTTTTGTCTATTTATTATTTATATTTCTCTTCTGATATTGTTGGAAGTAGTTTTACTAATATCTTCTTCATTTATAGATAATCTTCTTTATTGTCTTGTTGAAATGTAATTTTTTCTTAAGAGATAGAGATTTTCTGTTTCCTCTCACTTTAATTCTTATTTTACTGACTTTGTTTCTTTCTTTCTAAAATAAACTTGATAAGTGTTGCTTGTTCTTGTAGTTCTGCAATCATTTTTAGTTGATGTTGCAGTTTATTAAGTTTAGTCTAGATGACTGATCTGAGCTTCATCTGTAGAAAAAGTATATAAAAGAATTTGTCTGATAGACTGCTTAGATTCTGCTTGAGTTTGATGATATATGTGAAAAACAAGAGTATGAACTAATTTTCTCATTGAAGAGCATTGTAGTAGTACTGTATTGTATCTTGACAGTATATTATCTTGAGTTCAATATTGTTCTTACATCACATCTTGAATTTGCTTTATGATATAGATAATTATTCTCCCTCTATTTCCAGCATCTGCTAATGCATCTGAGATTTGTCATAAAAATAACTGAATACTCAATCAATTCTGACTGCATCTGGTGCCTTTTATAGTGATTTTCTCAGGTAAAACTGCTGTCTTATTAAAGCTAACCATAATTTATACTTATTAAGTGATTTATCATAATAGTAAGATGCTTTCAGAGACTTTATATTGTTGAAATTATCTGACTTCTTTATTGATTTTGTGCATAAGAGAAACTTTAAAGAGAAATTATTATTTGCTATTCTTTGTTTATATTTTATCTACTTCTGCAGTCTGTGTATTTTATTTTATTTATATATATCTGCTAGATTCTTTTGCAGATGTGTCTTCTTTTCTTTAAAGATTTCTTCTCTCTGGATTTCATTTAATATAGTGAGGAGTGTATCTCTGTTATTTGTGTTGTTTGCTGGTGTTTTGCTGATAATGGCTCCACTACTATCAGCATCTTCATTAATGTTTATCTTGTATATATTAATGTCTATCTCTGTTGAATCTACAATATAGAGTGATGTTGTGGTTCATCTTGTAGATCTTGATAATATTATACTGACTTAGATAATTATATGTCAGAGTGTTCAGAATGTTAAAAGAACTGGTTATTGTTAGAAGCTCAGCTAGACACTATAGAAAGTAATTCTTGTTGCCAACTAGGTAGCTATAATAACAAAATACTAAGACAGGCTCTAGAAAAGGGGCTCAGGGCAAGGGCTTGCTATATACACACAACAAGCTTCTGTATCAGATAAACATTTATCTCCTTAGCAAATTCTTTGCCTAGAGTTTAGGGCCTTGCCTCAGAACAACCTTTCACCAGTATGCCAGCTTAGCTAGAAGAGTTACAGATCCTCACATTACTTCTCTACAAGCTTCAGATATGTCTTCATGCCAGCAAGTCATCAGCTGTCTTATCTGAAAGATATTTCTCAATCTCCCATGCTCTCTGTCATTGCTCTAACGGTTTCAGTGGCCCAGGCTTTGTAGAATTTGCCACATGGAAGACACAAATCTTGGGTGGGCAACTCTTCAGATTCTGTACAAGATACCATGTATAGTCTGGATCAAACTCTAGCTATTTAATTCAGTATTGAAGCTTTCTTCTATAGATCCAGCTTGCCAGAATCTCATCTACTTCTCATTTATTCTTATTATAGATTATAACAGGGTCAGAAGAATCTGTACTCTGGCCAGGAAGAAGCTTATCTACGGCTTTTCTTAGCTTATCTGGGCAGAACACTGGGTGGATCTTCATAAAGTTTGGTAGCCAGAGCTGGTAGCTATTACCAACCTTAATCAATATTTCAAAAAAGTTTTTATTCTGCTCTGCCAGCTTCCTGCTTGGTCAGTCAACACTATAGTTCTTTAGTAACAAGAATATCTTATTCTCAACACTAAAATCAGATTTACAGTGATGCTTATTTGCTTGAATCTTTATAACTTTCTGTGTCTTCTTCATGTCTTGTCAGATCTTGTTCCATATCTTCTGTAGAGATTTTATTTATTTCTGAGTCTTCTTCTGACTAATTCTCCTGTTTCAGAACAACAGAGCATTCTCTAGTAGTTGCTTCTCTCAATCAAAAATGATTCTTGATTCATATTTATTTATCATCTGGAATAGCAAGATCCCAGTACTGGTGCTAACTGTAGCCACTACATGATTCATTATCAGTAGAAGGTCATCCCAATTATCCTGGTAGTGATTAACATACAGCCTCAGGCATGTGACCAGATACTAGTTTGTAATCTCAGTTTGTCCATCTGTCTAAGTATGGTGAGCTGTGGAGAGCTTCAGCTTAACACCAAGAATCTTTGTGATCTTCTTCCAGAATTCCAAAACAAACAGGGGCTTCTGATCTGGGACAATAGTATCAGGTGCTTTATAATATCAGTAGTATTCTTCTAGAAATAGCTTGACCAGTTCTACAGCATCCACTCAGCAGATTGTTAATAATGATATTGATTTCTTGCTCAGTCAGCAAACAATAACCAAAATGGCATTGTGGCTCTGTTTACTTATGAGGGTCTTTATGAAATTCATAAAGATATACTACCAGAGTCTTCCAGGGACCAGCAGTAACTTCAACAGTTCTGAAGCATTATCTTAGAGTTTTTTGTTTCTTTAGCAGATCAGACAGTTGCTCACAAACTATTCTATATCTCTTCAGTAATTAGACTAATAGAATCTTCTGCTAACTACCTCTGTAGTTCTCTTCTTCCCTGGATATGTAACAGAGAGTTGGTCATAAATCTTCTTAAGTAAACAGATTTTCATACTGAGGTTCTTCTCTGTTGGGATGACAAGACAGCTTTTAAAACACAACAACTCATTTTTCATACTTTATTTGCTGTTCTTTGTTATCTGGCTTTGCTATTTTTTCAATAATTTGGCAGTGCAATTTGTGGTCAGAATCTGATTCATTAGCACTATATCTTCTCTTTCCAGAGTAGCCATGTCAACTTTCTTTAGCTATTTCTCTTGAATTCTGGAGTTAATACATTCTGGCTTCAGTAGCAGTTGCAGGCAGAGATCTTTTGAATATCTCTGGATTTCAGAGCAGCTTAACACATCAGCAAGAGTATTCTGCCTCCCAGGCCAATATTGAATGACAAAGTAGAATCAGGATAGAAATTCAGCTCAACAAGCCTGTCAAGCATTCAGCTTCTTCTTAATTATAAAGTACTCCAATGCTCTGTGGTCAGTGAAGATCTTGAACCTCTTTTTTTATTACAATTCTTTTAGTTCAGCACACCATTCCACTAGAGCTTGTACTATTGCTAACATCTCTTTGTTATAAATCTTGTAGTTTCACTCCACTTCACTTATTAATGCTGAGTCACCAGATATTACTGGCTATTCTCAAACTTCTGGAAGAGAACTTCACTAATTATACTGTCAGATGCATCTGTCTCCACCCTTGTTTCCAGAATTGAATCATAATAATAAAGAACTAAAGTCTTTATTAGTGCTTTCTTCAACTGGTTAAAGACTTGTCCACACTGTTCTGTTTATTTAAATAATTGATTTTTCCAGATTAGCCAGTGCAGTAGCTTAGAAATCAAATTGTATAACCACACAAACCTCTGGTAGAAATTGCAAAAGTCTAAGAAGGATTGGACTTCTTGAACTGTAGTGAAAATCTTTTAATTACTGATGACAGCAATTTTCTCCATGTCAATCTCTACATTATTGATGTCAATAATAAATCTCAAGAATCTTGTCTTCTGTACATAAAATTCACATTTCATAATGCTTGCTTGAAGACCTGCCTTCTACAGTTAAGTTAATACCTGGTGCACATGCTTCTTATACTTTTTGAGAATCCTGCTAAAGATCAGCAGATCATCTATATAGGCCACCAGAAACTTATCTAGAAAGTTAAAGAAGATGGTGTTGATGAATCTCTGGAAGATAGAGAGTTCATTGCTTAGCTCAAATGGGATAATATTATACTTATAAGTTTCATATCAAGTGCAGAAACTGGTCAGATCTCAAGAGACAAAGTTTATTAGAATTTAATAAAAGCTCTGCCAGATATCCAGCTTTGTGAAGAACCTTATCTTATTTAGAAGGTCTATGATCTCATCAATCAAGAGAAGAAGATGCCAGTCTTTGTTTGAGATGGCATTCAGCTTTCTATAGTTCATACAGAATCTCATCTTTCTGCCAGTATGCATAATCAGAATTGGAGAGACAAATAATGTTGCTGTAAAAGAGATGAAGCCTTTATTCAAATTAGCTTCAAGATACTTCTTAACCATCTCTAGCTTCTCCACACTTATTTTATAGAGTGGCACATGACCAATGTCTCTGTTAGAATCAGATTCTTTAACCAGATTGATCTTGTAGTCAACACCAGACTTGAAAGAAAATAGCTGGTTCAACACTGTCTTAAAGAACATGTCTCAGAACTCTCTATAGCATTCTGGTAAGTTCTTATTGATTAGTCTCTTATTATCCCCTTCTGCTTCAATAATGATTATCTTCTTTTTCTTCTTGAGAAGGCTATCTATTTCACAGAGGCTGGTGATATAGATAGCTGCTCTTTGCTGCTTTACTATCTTATAGAAAGAAGCCATGTCAATAAATACCATGTTTACTACCAGAGGTGTTTATATCTGCTGGGGGTTGGCTCTATAGCTCAGAGCTGAGATTATATGACTCTTGCTGACTTCTGATTGGTCAGTTTGATTCACCAGCACGCTGGCCAATTCTTTCAGATTTAGTATTATTTTTAACTTCACATTCTTGATCTCTATCAACAGGTCATAGCAACCCATATCCATTTGCTAAATCAGTTCAGTATTCTTATTAAATTACTTCTTAATTACTTCTCACTGTTCAGGTTAGACAAGTTATCATTTTCCTACATCAAGCCAGATTCTTTGCTTTGTGAGTCAGGCTCTTTCAAGAATTATTGAATGGCTTTCAAGATCTGCTAGCAGCATGGGAATGTTCAGAAATCTTCTTTCATCAATCCAGAGATGTAGTCAAATAAGATGTGTGATAAGTCTTTCTTTCTTCTCTTCAAAGTTCTTCATCTGATACTTTTTCAAAGTCTCTTCAGATGCAACCCATATTTAATGCAGAGGTTCAATGCAAGACTTCAATCAATAAATACATATTCATTTACTCTGGAGTCACCTAGGGATTTTATAGTTATAGCATATCCATTGAAGGCTATTTTATTAGATACAACAAAGGGCCTTCCATCTACCAATCTGCTTAAGTTCAATTCATCTAGAACAATCTTTGAGCCTGAAATGAAGACTTCTCTCAGACTTTCTCTTTTCCTAACTCAGTTTCAGATTCAAAGCTAATCTCTTGTACAGCTGCCTGTATGCTTGGTCTCTAAGGATAGTTTCTTGAAAGATGTTCTTTTTCTCTGTATTTATAATATACTACATTCTTAATCTAATTATTCTTCATGGAAGAATCTGCTGGTTTAGAGATGGTGGCACAGAATAGAAGAATAGTGAACTCCAGATTACCAGATTTTAAGCTGACAAGCTTTAAGCAGAGAGATCTTGCCATGCTTGCTTTACATGCATGTTGCTGCTATTCTTTTCAGCTACTGATTTTGCTTAATAAATGAGTCACTCAAAAGTATATCTTTTAAATCTTCTAAAAAATAGATAGGTTCATGCAGAAAGCAGCAGACAGTATTATTAATTTATCTAAAATCTTGTTCAGAAAGTTATTTTTATAGTTCTTCTTGTTCACCCTAGCTTTGCCTGTCAAATGAAGGAATTTGGTCACAAAGTTTGTGTAGTTATCTCTATTTCTTATGTAGAGACACCAGTAGTTTAACTTGGCCTTTTGAATCTTGTTTGAATTCTCATATATACTTATCAAGTGTTCAAAAATCTTATCTGCTATAGTAAATCTTTCTGAATGATTAATTCACATTCAGAAAGTCAGATGTTTTGCAGTATCTTCTGTTGTTCAGCTCTCAATATAGGCAATCTTGCTGTTCTTATTAGTAAAGTGGTCACTATTAATTCATAACTTACTTTTTATTTGGGAGATTGATACTCAAACACAGGGTCTTTCCTATCAGAGAGAGAGTCAGAGTCAGTTATCTTGCTACTCTTTCTTCTACTAATACTTTCAACACTGCCAGCTCAGTTCTGCTTCACCAGATCAATAACTGTCTGCTGGAGATCTTCTTTCTCTATCATCAAGACATTAATCTGTGTATCTAGTTCTTGAACACATTCAAGTGGCTTGTTTCTCTCAGCTTGCAGTCACTGCATGTTGAACCTTCCACTATTTATAGACTGTACTATCTTCATATACATACAGTCAGTATCTTTCTCCAAGACACAGAGAAAGTCTTTCTTTAAGACCATCATTACAGAGCCTATATTTTCTGGTTTTCACATCATGAATTCCCAGTCCAATCTCCAGATCTTTCTGTCAGACTTGAAGCTCACCATTCTGGTATTCAGTATTCATTCATCAGTTCATTGGTTCATTTATTTGTTTGCTGGAGACTTTAATCATGAATCTCCAAAGAACTAAAGATGTTGAAGATCTTAGTATTATATTAGAAACTCAGCTAGATGCTATAAAAAGCAATTCTTGTTGCCAACTAGGTAGCTATAATAATGAAATACTAAGACAGGCTCTAGCAAAGGGGCTCAAGGCAAGGGCTTGCTATATACACACAACAAGCTTCTATGTCAGATAAACATTTATCCCCTTAGTGAATCCTCTGCCTAGAGTTTAGGGCCTTGCCCCAGAACAACCTTTCACCAGTCTGCCAGCTCAGCCAGAAGGGTCACGGGTCCTCACAGTTATAGATTATGTAGATTTCTTTAGAATTTGAAGTATAAAAGAGCTAAGTAGATTCAATGCCTGCAACTAATAGAAGAGAGTTTTGTGTAGAATATAGAAGTCCTCTAACTAGAAGACTGAATGCTGAGATTTCTATAATATGTATATATCATGTGTTTCTTATACATTCAGAGTTGAGATCATGTAAGTACCTTTGAATATCCAATATCATCTGATGCTTGGTAGATCTAGGTCTATATTCATAACAATACAACTACAGATAGAATTACAACAAAAGATATAGTTATAAAAGAAGATAAAATAAATGAAGAACTATAAGACAAATAAAGTATTTCTATAATACTTTAAAAACCAGAAGAAACAGTATTGATTAGATAGTTGATAGAAGATATAAGATTAGTCTAAGCAGAAGTTAGTCTGGGAACAAGTAAAAATAGTAAAAAAGATCTACAAGACTGATTTCTATGCTATCTTGAAAAGTTTTGATCTCACTTATCAAACAAGTAGTAAGATAGTTAAGCAAAACTTAAATGTTTTTAATTTTACTTTCAATCTGAGACAGAACAGTACAGACTAAGATTAATAAATAAGAGAACTTAGACAGACTATCTTTAATAAATTCTATTTTAAATACAAGATCCACAGTCTTGACTTCATAATATAAGGTAGAATAATAATGTTCTAAAGAAGATTCTTTAAGAACAGAAGTAATCTGATAATAATAATATTTTGTGGCTCCAGAATCAAGTTTATAAAACTCTTGCACAAGTATGCTCATGCACTTTACATTATAAGAGTGATATAAATTGGCAGTATTGAAATTATAATATTCTTCTCTAAGATATAAGAGCTAACAAATAATATTGACAGCAGACTCTGAAATCTATAGTTATGTCAGACCAACAAGAAGAACAGATAAAGACATACTTATATTATAACAGGTACAGATTTGATGTTCTAAGTAATAAGTACAAGATTTCTTCTTGATATCTCATATACATGGTTCAGCTTCATTTACATAATCTGTAAACATCAAATATATGTAAATAAAGCAGGGAAATGCATTCTCTTTGTTATTAGAAACAAAGTCTCTTGACAAAGATATTATAATGAACTGGAAGCCAAAAAAGATAATAATGCTTATATTCAGATATGATACAAGAAAAAGAAAAAGAAGAGAGTGAGAAACTCTCTATTTATACTTACATCACAATGTACTAAAAGCACTAGTTCTATAGTTTATTGATAAACAATATGATAGCAGACAACAGACAATATAGCAACCAGACAGGCAAATAAACAAAAAAACAAGCATATAATAAAATACTGGACTTTTGTAATAAAATGATTACTATTCTATAATAAAGGATGTCTACTGCAACCAGCAGTGATACACATGCTAAATATCTATATAGATAAATAGTAGAAATGCAGAAGCTTGGATATTCAAGAATTTATACTATTTTATTAATAACAAAAAGGGTATAATAATAACATACAAAAAACTACTTCAGTAGCTCTATATCTTGAAGTCTGAGGCTTCTGAAGGGGATAGTATTATAAATATAGATCTAGATCAATTAAGCATCAGACAATATCAGATATTCAGACATACTTATATGACCCCAACTCTGAATGTATAAGAAATACATGATTTATATAGATTGTTAGAATTTTAGCATTCAGTCTTCTAGTTAAAGAACCTCTATATTCTACACATGACTTCCTTCCATCAGTTACAGGCATCAGATCTACTTAGTTCTTTCATAACTCAAATTCTGAGAACATCTACATAACCTACATCTGGTTCTTCTAACAAAATCTCAGAATATTTAAAGCAGTTTTAGAGCTACTGATATAGCTTTATTTGAACTAGATCAAGTTCTTCAGCATCTTGATATTCAGCTTCATATATCTAACTCTCCAGCTAGGTAATCTAGCAATTTTCAATTATTCTTGATTTTACAAACATCTAGCAATCCTCATCAATTGCAGCACTAATAGAAGAAGGTTAAGTATCTTGTAGAACAGAGACTTAAAAGTCTTCCTGATCTAGAGAAAGGCCTGGATCTAATTATTAACGCTTGTAAATATAGCATGGTCAATACCACTATTATAAAAAAGTAATATCAAGATATATTTGCTGCAAATAAGAAAGAAAAGCAAAAATACAAGAGATCTACTTACAGAATTTAATATAAAGAAGATCTAACTAGAAAAGAAGCTTAGAATCTTATTATTTCTTCTGCTCAGCCTATTGAACAGCCAGTTATTCAATTCTCCTCATCTCATACCTTAGAGTATATGCTACAGTTATGAGCTCCACCAAAGTGCAGCAATTGTGGTATGCTCAGGCATACAAGACTAAGATGTGCAGAATCTAGTGTAATTTAATTTAATTTAATTATTTGTTGCTAAGCATAGATAATTTCGGTTAAAATCTAGTTGTAGAAATATATTAAATTTGGTGTGCCGCTCGGGGGTGAATTACGTTAGCTGCTGACAAAGTGGCTGGGACAGTGGATGACATAATCACTCAACCTGTGTCCTGGCATCTTCTCATGATTTCCATCGCAGAGACTGTTGTTAAATGGCATGGCGAATTATTTTACACAACCTGGCATCCCAATACCAGTCAAATTGACTTTGTTAAGTCTTTGCTAGCAACATCCAATCTTACATTCTGGGATTTTAGCAGCTGTCAATGGATTCTTGATTTTATCCGGAAATTTTGGCAGTCCCAGGCTGGGATAACCCATCAACAGAGTGTTTTGACGCGGCTTAAAGGTGATGTCAAGCTCTCCAGGGATATCATCAAGGCATTCTTGCTGAACCTGAATTCTGAGTTGGATGGTTTGGTACGGCGCGAGGACCTCACAGCTCTGTGTCTATCACAAGCAACAAACCACTTATATCACTTCAATTTCGCGGAAGCACATGAAGAAGTTAGAAAAATTGCGAATTTTCCAAGAACACAGGAATACCTGCCTTGGGACCAAGTACTTTGCGTCGGCCGGATTATGAGAGGAGAGGGAGGGTTTGAGCAAGCAAAGACCTGCTTCATGACCTGCCTCGGAAGTCCAGGACTGCGCAAATCCCAGCGGTTCATTGTTCAGTCAACCCTTGCAGATACTTACTGTGAGTTGGACTATCAAACGGGGAATCGGTCTTTTCTCTCCCAGGCAAAGGAAATCGTGGAACCAGAAACTGAACGCCTGAAAGCGTCGTCTGGTCAGCATTTCAAAGGATTTCGACGCTTACTCCTTTCCCTTACCGAGGTCAAAATCAGGCAAGGCTATTATCGGGATGCTGGCCTGTTAGCCAGGAAGCTAATAGTCATATATGGCAACTTACAAGAGCCAGACATAGTGGATCGGCTTGGTCATGTCAGGGTACGCATTGCCCTCGCACGTCTCTCTCTAACCGCCGAGGATGCATTGGAACGGTGGAACGAGGTCTTGTACTGGAATAGATTCTACAACCCTTTCGAGGAAGAAGTTTTCGCTTGCGGTGTTGCCCACCTTTTCCTTTGTATCACATGGTACAAGCTTGGAGATATCGACAAGAGCACGGATAGCTTCCAGAATGCAGTTCGAGTGATTGAGGGGAAGCAACATCAATTTTTGATCCTGGGGTTGGGTACCTATCTTTTTCATGGTGTGTGCGATCAGATACAGTCTAAGATTGGGTGGTTTGTCACTAGTGAAATATCTACAGTGAACTTGAGAACAAATTGATGAATTTTTTAATGGTTTATCTTGCCCAAATCTCTCGTACCTCAAGCCCCAACAATTGTTGTACTAGATAGTACGTCTAGCTCGGCATATCTCTTTTGGGTTTGGACGAGCGTGATCTCGATCGGCGGTGTTTGGCTGGCAGAACAAGAAGATACTCATGACCATCTAGCAAGTCTCCAAATGGCCACACCCAGGTTTCTTTAACCATTTTCAAAGCCTCTAATGGCTCCTCATGGTCAACAAAAAAACCAGTATTGACTCCGCAAATAAGTCCTGTCGGATCCTCGGGTTCGAAGAGAGAGCCGCACAATTTCGCCTCTCTAACGTAGGATATCGGTGATACTTTCATGATTGCTTCGGCATTTTCCGCAATGAAGTTGAGAGACACTCTTTCAATACTTGCTGCTCAGGATTAGAATTAGATTCTACATTATTGACAAAGGATTGAACATACTTCCAAAAGCTGAAGCAGCCGCCAAGCAAGCTGCAGGGTGAGAGCTCATAATACCATATATGTCGTCCCCATCCGATCGAATGGACCTTAAAAGGCCACCGGCAAGTCCACGCTCACGATAGTCTCTATCTACCACCAACTGAGTGATCCAACAGACATTTTTGCCATCATGTTTCCAGCGGCAGGCGAATGCACTTCCAGCAAGGTTCCCATCAACGGTCACTCTGACATGAAGACTTGCTGAGGCCTCGGGCAAGTATTGTTCTCGCAGTCGGTGCCCACTGAGTTTAACCGGCTTTCCTGGAGGGTGTTAGAGATGAGGTGAGAGACGAGGGGCATATCACTTACCTGGACACCGGGACTGCTTTCCCCAAATTCCGTAATTCTCGCTGAAGAGCTTTGCTGCTTCATCCAGCATAGCATCCGTGATTTGATCAGCAGTGAAGCTCTCATACAGTTGCGTGGCCATCCTGACGGAATTTTGTTTGCTGACACCCGAAGAATTCTCAATAATAGCAATGCTGGGTTCTAGAATGAACTTCACACCAGACTGAGCGGAAGCGGCTGAAGACAAAGATGAATTTGAAGGTTCACCCGAGGGAGATGGTGTCTCTTTGGACACACAAAGCTGCTGCCTCTCTGTCATGGCGACCAGTGTTGATGGAGGAAGGAAGCGGGGAATCCGCTGGCATTGCAGCCAATCACTAACTAGTGGTTAGATGGGGGGGGTCTAGTGACCCAGGTTCCTGCCTGGTTACCACCAAACGCCAAATAACCTGTTTGGACCAGGGAGGAGGTAGATTATGTAATCAATACTGCTTCATCAAATCATCAAAACTACCTCATATTGTCAGGAGCAAATTTTTGAAATATCTCCACAACCACCTTTCTATCTGGCTTACACAGTAGCTCAATCTGCTTGCCAGAGCTCAAGGTATCACTCAATATCAAGAAAAGCATAGCAAGCAGCCAAACTGCTTCTCAGAGAGGTCTCCAGCCCAAAAACATCCACAATCATGCAATTTAAATACAAGCAGATATTAAAGCTATTGTTAGGAAAACCAGACTTAGGTTACATAGGTTTTCCCAGGATTTGGGGTACAAAAAAGCTAAGTAGATCCAATGCCTGCAACTGATAAGAGGAAGTCATGCATAGAATGTAGAGGTCCCTGTTATGAATCTTGTGGCACGGCAGCCAAAGATACAGAATGATTGGATGAAACCTGACAAGACAGAGTCATGAACTGTTGTGGAGAAACCTTAAGATGGGAAGTCATGTGATCAGGAAGTGATATGAGTGAGATGAGATATAAGAAAGAGAGTATCATGTATTGTGATACTACAACACAAGCAATCTGGAAGGAAGTATTGTGAGTATCACCAGAAGAGCATTATATATATAAGAATGCTCATTACCAGAGATCTGATGGACTTGTTTATCATAATCAATCTTCTTATCTATCTTACAGATACCTTTGAATCAGATACTTTCATATCTTAGTTACTTTCCATACTACTGAAGTCTTGTGATACTGTATGATTATATCTGATACTGCTACTCTTGAGAAGGCATGATAGCCTTGCCCTGACTCTGATATATCTGTACAGAAACTCTTTGTCATCAGGGCAAGACTGCCCACTCAACTGGAGCATTATTGAATTATTGATCACTATCTTCAATCTGTTGTTGTTCTCTTTGAGCTCTTTGATACCCTCAAGACCCTAAAGGACTTAGAGAGGTTTCCAGTCACAAAAAACCTACACAACAGTTCTCCAACTAGAGGATTGAATACTGAGATTTCCACAATTTATGTGAATTATATAATTCTTATATATTTAAAGTTGGAGATCATCTAAGTTTTTCTGAATATTTAACATTATCTGATGCTTGATTGATCTGAGCCTATATTTATAATATTAACTCTCTTTTCCAGAGATCTCAGATTTTAAGATATAGAGCTACTGAAGTAGTTTTTCATATATTATTATTATGGCTTCTTTGTTATTACTGAAGTATTATAGATTCTTGAATATGTAAGCTCCTGCATTTCTACTGCTTATCTATATAAATATTCTGTATATATATTATCATCAGTTGCAGTAGACATTCTTTATTATAGAATATTAATTATTTTATTATAAAATTTCAGTATTTTGTCATGTACTTATTTCTTTATTTATTTACTTGTCTGATTGCTATATTATTTATTGTCTATTGTTATGTTATTTACTAATAAATTATAGAACTAGCAACTTTAGTATATTGCAGTACAGATATAAATAAAGACTTTCTTACTTTTATTCTTTTTTTTTCTTCTACTACATCTTGTATACAAGTATTATTATTTTCTTTAGTTTCTTGTTTATTATTATATTTTTATTAAAAAATCCTCTCTCTAACTCTAAGAAGAACATATTTTCTTACTTTGTCTGCATATATTTAATATTTACAGATTATCTAGACAAGAAAGAACTTTGTATATAGAATATTAAGAAAAAATTCTCTATTTATTATTTAGAGCATTAAACTCATACTTATTATATTATAAGTGCATCTTTATTTATTCTTTCTTGTTATTCTAATATAGCTATAGATTCTAGAGTCTATTGTTAATATTATTTATAGACTTTTATATCTTTGTAAAGAATATTATACTTTTAATGCTGCTGATTCATGCTACTCTTATAATATAAAATATATGAGTATACTTGTACAAGAGTTTTATAGACTTAACTCTAGAGCTGCAAAATATTATTATTATTAAGCAACTTTTGTTCTTAAAGAATCTTCTTCAAAACATTGTTATTCTATCTTATACTATAAAGTCAAGACTGTGAATCTTGTATCAGAAATCAAATTTATTAAAAACAATTTATCTGAATTTTTTTATTTATTAATCTTAGTTTGTACTGTTGTGAGGATTGTACATATGGATCAGTGTGACAATGAATCTCTAGGAGAAATATACATGAAAAAGAGTATGCAAGATAAAAGATCTGTATTCTGGCAACTATATATAACTTGTAAACAAGATTGCCACTGGCTCTCAATAAGAGATTTGTGCAGTAATGATCTTTTATGTGTGCTTGTGAGCATGTAACTTAGTATCTTGTGAGAACACATGCAACTTTCAGCAGCTTGCAAGCTGAGCTCTCTGGCTCTTGCAGATGCTGTTTGTCTGTGTAAGAGGTTTGTGGCAAATTCTTACAGATTTCCCCCTCTTGTAAGTGTTGGTTTCTCAAGATGGCTGTCTCATTAAAAATCTTCATGAGTAGAAAAACAAAAAACCTCTTGGGAAAAATAAAAATTTCCTCATAAGGAAAAGAGTACAGCCTCACTAGAGATGTAATATCAACACAACTCTAATAACACAACAGAAACCAATAACACAACAATGTGTAGAAAGTCTCTATTGTTCTCACTAGCTCTGTATCACTATTAGATAATGAATACTAGCTTAAGAGAGAGCTTTCTCTTGCTTTCTTTTTCTCTTCTTTTCTTCTCTTTCTTCTCTAGCCTATATCACTATTACCAAGGTAAGTGAACCCTTCAAGTACTGCTTCGCGTGGGATTTGGTTCCCGGAGAGACTGATGCTTGCTAGCAGTTGCTGCTGGTATGCAGTCTTCTTCTCCTCTCTCTTGTGACTCATCTCTGCTTTTCTTTCTCAGGAGGACCCCCATCTCTTCTTTTACAGATGAGATTGAGCCTTCAGTAAGTAGTCACAAGAAGTTTGGGAAGTATTTGTAACTAATAGTTCTAGAGTATTATTATTCTCTCTTCTTCTTCTTCACTAGTTGTCATTACTCTTTCTGTGCCAGCTCAAGCTGTAAGTGCTTCTCACAAGCTGACATTAATTCATGTGCTGATGAAGTTAGAGTTCTACTGCTTTGTCTCTCTCTTTTATAGTTGTTGCTTCAGCTCTGGCCAGAAATATGAGTATTTTCTATCATATTTTAGTTTGTGGCTAATCTTCTTTAGGTTGTTATTGTTATTTCCTCTGCACCAGCAGAATTTGTAAGTATTATGATTTTACAGAGTGCTTGAGATCATTCAGCACTTTCTCCACAAGATTAATAATGATGGTTCCAGACTATCTTCACTCAAATGCTATCAGCTGCTACTTTTACTGGTGTATCATGAGCTAAGTCAGTAATTCTTCCAGGTCTCTCTCTCTATATAGAGGCATAAGCTTTGTCTGTCTGCAAAAGAGCATGGTGTTGTAAGTCTATTTAAAAATCTGTGCTTATTGCTGGTTTAGATAATTCAAACCAGTTGACTGTGCATACTCAGCTCTGTAAGAGAATTCTCATAACTTAAGCTGGGGCCCAGTTATTATCTAGATAGAAGTACTCTGTCTGCAAGAGAGCTCAGCAAGACTATAATAATATAGTCTTTACAGAGTGCATCTCTGTAGGCTTGAGTCAAAAATGTAACAACTATCTATACTATAAGCATCTTGCTTGCTATTTCCAGCAGTAAGATTATAGATAGTTGTTACAGATCTTCATGGGAGGAGCTGGAGGCTCTAATTATATAGTCTTAGTCTAGTTTTTTCTTCTTTTGTTTTGAAATCAATTGAATTTAGTTCAGTTTAACTATGCTTTTTCTCTCTCTAACTCATTTTCTAGTTTCACTACCTCCATCCATCTCTTTCACAAACCAGGCTTGTCCGGGTTTCTACTATAGAATTGTTGGAGTAGCTTTTTCAGTGGACAGACATTGCTTGCAGGAAATCTGTGCAATCTCACTATCTTATGAATAAAGAGATGGGCCAATTCCTCTAATGTTAGCTTCTTTGTTGTAGGGATAAAGTGAGTCATCTTTGTGAACTGGTCCACTACAATCAGGATACAGTCAAACTGCACCTTTTCAAAATTCAGACTTGTGGGGAGATCTGTAATAACATCCATGCTAATGAATTCCCAAGAGTAATTTGAGATTGGTAAGAGTGATAGTTCTTCTTGAGACTTTCTGTAAACTCTTCTTGAGCTCTGGCAGACTCTACAGACTTTGCAACACTTCTTTACCAGTTCTCTCATTCTTGGTCAAAAGTATTTGTGAGCTATAAGCTTATACATTCTTGCTGTAGCAAAATGCTCTGTAAAGAGTAGGTCATGATGATATCTAATCAGCTCTATTTGCAGAGCCTCATTCTGAGAGATGTATATGTAACTATCTCTATAGAGAATACTCTTCTTCTCTTTTCACATTATGAATTTCTTTGTGCCTGTCTTAATATCTTTGCAGATCTCAGCTGCATAGTCATCACTTTGCAGTAGATTTGGTAGTGATGCCAACAGATTGAAGCTACTCTTTTTATAAGAATTCTTCTTGTGGATCAGGTTTTTGATCTTCTGGATCTGCATTGCAATCTTCTTTACTTTGCACATATCTTCCAAGACAATCTTTGCAAGTAGTTTCTTGGTCTCAACTCAAAGCTTTGTGAAGATGAGTTGTATATTCTTATCTTCTCTCTTCTCTCTCTGGTTGAGAGAAACTTGAGCTATTAGTTCTAACTTTTCTGTGGTCTCTTGCTTTTTCACAAGCATTACTCTTAGTTAATTTGCAGTCTCACAACTCTTCTTATTATCTAGACCAGTCTTCTTGACATAGTCAGATCTTTGCAAGAGTCTATCTGCTGGATTCTTAGTTTCTTTCACATGGTTAACTGTGAATCAAAAGACTGTCAGTCTTTGCATCTAGTGGACCTGTCTTTATGAGAGATCTTGAGTAGTCTGGAAGTAGCACAAGCTATTATGATCTGTAAGAACTTGAACTGGTGTTTACAAGCCTTTTAATCAGCAGGACCAATATCTAAATAACTTCATAATTGTAAGCAGTTTCTGATCATAAATGCCATAGTTCATTTCTGTGAGTTGCATCTTTCACAAATAAAACCCAACTGGAATCTAGATGCCATTCTTTATCAGTTGTGATAGAATACTATACACTGTAAAGCCAGATGCATCTGTTTTCAATCTGGTCTTTTGTTTTATATCAAAATGGTGAAGTATAACAGCTTCTATAAATACTTTTTTCAAACTTATGAAGGCTTTGTGATCTTTCTCAGTTATAAAAGTTTTGGCTTCTCTCTTCATCTCTCTTTATGTGTGTCTGCTTAGCTTTACTTCTTCTCTCTTTAGGAGAGCAGTCAGGCTGCAGGCTATCTTAGAGAATCTTGAGATAAAGTATCTGTAAAAGTTCACAAATTCTAAAAAGATCTGGATCTCTTTCTTACTGGTTGGCTCTGGCCAGTCAAGAATAGTGTTCACACAGCTCTTCTTTATAAGAACATTCTCTGATGTTATAACATACTTAAGATAGTTAATCTCACAAGTATTGAACTTGCATGTTGCCAGCTTGCAATAAAGATCTGCATTCTTGAGTATCTTAAGTACTAATTTCACATGCTTCTTATGGTCTTTCTTGCAAGCCAAGTACATAATTATATTATCAAGATAGACTATTGTGAACACATCCAGATATTCACTAAGTGCCTTCACAATATATAATTGAAAAGCTGCTGATGTGTTTGCAAGTTTAAAAGATACTATCAAGTACTCAAATAGTCTCTGTAGAGTCTGAAATGCAGTCTTTCACTCATTCTCTTTATGAATTCTCAGTCTATGGTAGGTGTTCTTGACATCCAACTAAGTGAATATTGCAGCTCCCACAAGCTTATACAACATATCTTCAATTAGTAATAGAGGATATCTATTCTTGACTGTTTTTGAATTCAGATTATGATAGTCTACACACATTCTTAGTCTGTCATTCTTCTTGAACACAAACAGGATGAGTGCTTCTGCAGATGACTTGAAAGATCAGATAAATCTATATATTAGAGCACTGCTCAGATATTTATGAAGAGTCTCTTGCTTAGCTTGCAAAAGTCTATATGTTCTTCCAAATTCTAGCTACTTCTCTGGTTCAAGATCTATGGCTAAATTATCTTTATAGTATGGTGGCAGCTTCCAAGCTCTCTTGTCACTAAACACTTCTGTGAGTTTATGGTAAACTTCTAGTATTTGAAGATCTAGGTCTGCTGTCACCATCTGTTCTGATTTGTGGAGAGTTATTATATAGATAGGCTTTTCTTCTTTCACAAGCTCTGAGAGATTAACTGGTTTAATCTTCACAAGCAGGTTGTGATATACAGTTTGGAACTCTAGTCTTAGTTTCTTGAAATATATCTTGAGATTGTGTTGCTGCAGTCAGCTCAAACTCACTAGCATCTCATCTCTTATATTTGTGACCATCACTTGTTTATGGAACAACTGCCAGTTTCTCTGAGAGTTACAGACTTTAAAGAATATATTTACAATTTCTTCTGTAAGAGTGATATTCTCATAATCTATAGCAGTTTCAATCTCTATAGACATCTTGTGCATCTCTAGGTCTAGCTTTGCAGCCAATCACAAACTGATTACTAGAGATTGACAGTCTGAATCTATTAGTGCTGACCAGGTAATACTTCTATCAGTTAGGCTTTGCATGCCTAGAACAATAGAGAGAAGAGTAAGAAGACTGTTCTTGAACAACTTTATTATATTGATTTTATCTACTTACAGTTCCCCAACTTTCTATTCACTACTTTTCTTTTTCTTGAAACAGTCTTTCACAAGATAGCTCTTTTAGCCACACTTAAAGCATCTTTCATTCTTTTTCAAGACTTTATAATTCTTGGTAAGATTTTTCCCCATCTTCTGAGCAGGTCTCTGGAATTAACTTCTCTTATTTATTTACAGTCTTCAGTTATTGGTCTTCATATCTTTGTAAGCACTTTCAACTGAATTAGTAGACTTCACATGTAAGGCATTCTTCATATAGACTACTGACATACTTGGTCAGAGCCAGGTAACCAGTGCTACTATATTATTAATATCATCTGGTATCTTCAGCTGTTCATCCAGTTTAGTTTGCATGAGCTTATTCAAGCTTCATATAAATAGATTCTTCTTTATTTTTACAGAATCTTTAAATTCTTTGCCAATCTCTGTTGTAAGCTCTAGAAATTATTGGTAATAGATATAATCAGTTTCATTCAAACTTTTGTGAAGGCCAAAGATTGCTTGCCAAGAGTTTTGTGTGTAGTTTGCTGAATCTTCTAGCCTCATATATAGAAATTCTTTAAGGCCAGTTCAGTTATTTTTTGATGGATTATCTTTATAATGGGCCTCTTAAAGATCTTTCTCAATATAATCAAGTTCTGTAAGAGCATATGTGAGAGTATCCTCATCATTTAGTTTGCTTGCATCACAAATGAATTTAATATCTGAGATGAACTGACAATATTCTGTGTAGATTCCAGTCTGGTAGTGCTTTGTGTATTGTGGTGGTCTCAAGATCAACAGACACTCTGTGGGTGTTGAGTTGAAGATGATTATATCAAGAGATTCACTTCACAAGTGCTTTTGGGTGTTCTGGATAGTATTTAACTTCTCTTGCCATTTCACCATTTTCTTTAGTAGTTTGATCTTCTCATGAAGCTGTTGGATTTTGTCTTTTGGTGTCAGAGTAGACTTTCTCTCTGAGTTTATAATGCTTGTTTCATTAACAGTTGAGAGAGATGAGATATCAAGATTAGTTATCTCTTCACAAACTTGGGTTTGTTCTTCAGATAGGTTTTCAGCTGGTGTTCCAGATTTGCAAGTTTCAGGAGATTGGCTTCTTCATGTTGATATCATTATCAGATATCATTAAAGAAGAGTGGCAAAATGTGAGAATTGTACATATGAATCAGCATGACAATAAATCTCTAGAAGAAATATACATGGAAAAGAGTATATGAGATAAAAGATCTGTATTCTAGCAACTATATACAACTTGTAAACAAGATTACCACTGACTCTCAGCAAGAAGTTTGTGCAGTGATGGTCTTTTATATGTGCTCACAAGCATGTGACTTAGTGTCTTGCAAGAACACATGCAACTCCTAGCAGCTTGCAAGCTGAGCTCTCTGGCCCTCGCGGGTGCTGTTTGTCTGTGTAAGGGGTTTGCAGCAAATCCTTACAACTGCCTTGTCTCAGATTGAAAACAAAATTAGAAATATTTATACTTTACTTAATCATCTTATCACTTACTTGACAAGTAAGACAAGAGATATTTAAGATACTACAGAGAGTAGTTTTATAGATCTGCTTTACTATCTTTACTTATTCTTAAACTAACTTCTGTATAGATTAATATCATATTTTTCATTAACAGCTTAACTGATGCTGTCTTCTCTGATTTTCAGAATATTATAGAAGTACTTTATTTTTCTTATAGTTCTTT